CAATCTCCATATAAGCATTATGCAACATCAAGTGGACAACAGCACAAAGGCCATATGCGTCTACCTGTCAGCAGGCAGCATTGAATTGTGAGGGCATTCCAAAATGAGAGCATTTGCTTACCACCTCAAAAAGAGACTGACCTGAAATTTCCATGTTCTCTTCTCTTGCATCTCAATGCAACGAAACCCAGAAGTTCTGCAGTCTCCATTAAACACTGTGTGATCCGTAAAGAGGCGTAGATCGATTCCTCTTCCCCAGTCAACAAGGCAAAGACCCTGCATGACAAAATCCTTGAATAATGAATACAATTACAATTAAATAGAGATTATTGCGGAGAAAAAACTGACCTGATCACGCCAAGGACCACTTCTGTTCAAAAAATCATCTTCTTGAAGGATACCACTGTGAAATTGCAAGAAATGTAAAAAGAACTATCAACAAAATTTTAAGATCGTGTAAGCAACTTGACGCACTGGCTATTTAGAATATGCTCACCATATAAATGCTTACTAAAATAAAATATTGGAAACATTTCCTTCATTTCATAAATTTTCTTCTCAATCGACCATGACATCAATATTTTCCGTTATACATAAACTAATGTTAACACAAACCCAATAAAATCTCGCGGCTTTGCAGGCCACTATAAAGCTATAGCTCTTGGACCAAAATTCTTAGTTCCCCGATTTTCAATCTTTTCAAGTTCTCTTTTCCGATCTTGCGCACAAACACACACACTATCTCTAGGATCACGCTATTAAAAATAAAATGACATCCAAATTCGCATTAAATATCATTGTATTGTACAAAACCAAACCTATTCTTCCCCATTAGGTGCATTCTGTATTACAGTGATGCTTCTTCCATCGCGGCAGAGGAAGTTTTAGCGTATGCCGAGGGCCTATAGTCATGCGGATGCAGCAAATTGATGCTACTAACTAGTGGGCACAAAGTCTGTACTTTACATAACTGAATCGTGCCTTTAAATTTGGAATGAAAAACATTTAAAACCACACTTGATGCAAACAAGCCAAAGGGTAAAAAGGAATAATTGCAAAGAATAGTTAACAAATTCATGGTATTAGAATTCAGATTATTCAAGCAGGAGCCATGCCCTTAATATGTGCCTCGATATATTTCTCCTACGAAAAGTCATTAAGTAGCGCATACGTTGTTACCTAGCGTAGCGAATAAGCAGGTTATCTGGCTTGAAATCACCATGAATTATGCCAACATCGTGTAATGTCTCAAGCATATGTAGCATTTCTATAGTGTAATAAATGCACAGCACTTCTTCCATGAATTTCCCCAGGACCGCATATGAATTTATGACATCCTGCGTGATATTTTATGAAAATATTACTACTTTGGGATGAACCGGAAAGAGGAGCAAATTATGAAAACAACTGACCTGTAATGTCCCATGAGCTAAATAGTCACAGATGAGTACGCTACAGTCAGAATAGATATGAATTCTATGGGCAAAGCCATAGCTTGGTCTCTGATAAAAATACGTGTCATCAATTCACAATAAGTATTTGTTCAATGAAATGGCAGGTCGATGGCGTAATGGAAAGGACATACTTCACTCTCTAAGATACGTTGATCAAGCAGACGATAGATGTAAAATTCCCAAGGGAATGCTGGTTTTTGGATCTGCAATTTAACGTTGAATTTTCAGTCTGATGAAACAATCGGTCCGCATCAGGGAAAAAACTATTTTCAATTAGGTAAATCAATCACCTTCAGTGCGACAACTTCATCGGGATTACTATTAACATATGCCTTGTATACTTGAGCAAAACCACCTTGTCCGGCACAACCCTTGATTTGATACTTCTTTCCACCTTTAAATTTCACAACAACAATATTCGAAAGCAACGGCATCCTTAATATAGGGAACTGAACATGTATACGTTGGGGAAATAATTGAAACGCCAACTGATAATTTACATTAGAAGGGTGGCTTAGAATCACCGCATCTAACAAATTTTTCGGGTTAATTTACTCCTGGCAATCATTAGTTTTGCAAAAGGTTCCATATCCTTTATAAATATAAGAGTGCAGTTGAGGAAATAAACAAGCAAGCCCGTAAAGATGGCTCTGCTACTAGATCCTATTTATGCAATGAAAGCTGAAAAACAGTGAGAATGATATTCAGATGATATATATGATTTAGAAAATAACCTATCTCCACAATTTTATTCCTTGATGAATTCTTCAAAGAAGATAAGGCAACTTTTCCGGCGTAAGCTTTGTTACTTGAATGATACCCCTGAAATGTATAAAGTACAAAATAGAAGTCTTAGTACTTTTCCAATGAAAACTAGTTCTGTCTGATTTAATAATACAAATAAATGTAAACAACAAACTTATAAAATGTCTGACATCAAATTTTGTGATCAAAGCACGTATCCTCTTCAATAGATCATTCATGATTGAGGGGCTCCATGGATTGATGGCGCCGTTTTCAAATTTCATGGATCCATTGTCGTCTATCTGAAATATAATAATAGACAAGAATTTTTAAGGTTGTCAATGCAGTCACGCAAGTAAACTTTAAAACCGAAGAGGCATAATGGTGATTAAGTATGAGACAGAGAAACTAAAGAACAAACGGTATGTTATTTTCATGGCGTATGCAGCACAAATTGAAATCAATGACATAGCCTATAAAGTCGCAATCTTTTGGATTTTCCTTGTGATATGATTCCAGTTTGGCTCTTTCTTATTATTATTATTTTCAGAAAAGAACTGTTCCAATATTCATACCTTCTGACGTTGAGCAACAGTCACTATTTCAGATATTCTATTGAGGAACAACTTATGCGCTTTCTTTAACCATTCAATTGGTTCTGCATTCCTAGTCCAAAAAATAATAATTAAAACCATTGCAGCAGAACTTGTGATAACAAATCAAGCAGGTACTGCTGGCTGCAGGTAGACCAATCACTGACCTGGAGATGCCAAGCTGATAGACCGTGTGAGCGTCGTGCAATCTCCCTTTGGATTCAAAAAAATATGCAGACCATACATAAAGTGAAGAATGGTTGGCACATACATTACTATCCAGCAATTCTTTGAACACATTATTAAAATCCTGACTAGCATCCATCTATCAAAAACGAGAAAATCAAGCTAAGCTCTCCGATATTCTTAAGCAACCAGTATGCAAGCAGCCAAAGGAAAAAATGAAGAAGTAATGTGTGCTTGGTCAAAAGAAGAAGAAGAAGTGATTTGTGGAGAGAAAATCATGATGACATTGGCACATGCTAAAGAAAGCGAAGCTTCATAGAGAAGCCAAGTTAACTCATGAAATAGCTCTTAGTTTTGCAACAATCTTCCCTAAATCAGTCAGACACCGAAAGGCTTTCAAATAAATTATATTTAAAGAGAGGTAATGTGAAACTGAATGAAGACAAATGGAAACTAAACAAGCATCAAGGATTTGAATGGAATATCAATAAAATGGAGATAAATAAAAAGTAAAAACGAAAGATTCACAAATTACATATAGGAGCCAAATCTTAAGAAATCTAATGTCATTGCTGTACTGGACATTGTGCTTGAACTTTCTGACGCAATCTTGTAGAAGGGTTACGAGACCCAAATTGGATGTTCGGCCGGAGATGGGATCTTCAAGAGCTTCCCTAATGGACCTAAATTCACAAATGATTAGAAGTTTACGAGACCCAAACCCAGCGTGATTGTGCCAATGTTACAGAAAAGGAGGAGTACCGAAGGAAAGGTAACAGAGGATCCTGAGCATCTTCGCTGACTCGGGAAATTAGGAAATTATCGATCATCGTCATCCTGCTCGTGGAACTGGAAATTGAAAATGTCTGCGTTTTGTGAAGCTGAGCAACTGAGAACTGAGATGAAGCCGGGAAGGCGGGAACCGCCGAATTTTGAATGGGGCTCTTTTCTTGAAATACTCCTCCTGTCCTTATTATAAGACCCAATTTGACTTTTTATTTGGTCCTAATTATAAGACCCAATCCATTTTGTTTCTTATATTTATACATTTTTTTCTAAGATAATCCTTCTAATAATGATAGTTTAAGCCAATATACTTAATTAGTAAGGATATTTTAAGAATGACAACACTTATTTATTATAAATAACCAACTTAACTTACTTCCTTAATCTCCTCAAATAAATCAATTGGGTCTTATAATTAGGACCGGAGGAGTATGTTTTTTTGTCCATAAGCATAATATCCAAAAAACCCTGGGCCTCCGAATCATGGCCCACCATGATGTCCAATGGGCTAAAACCACACGAGGCTGAATTAACCGTGACTCCGCAATTTTCAATGGAATGTGCTCCCATTGACTTCTTTTGACTTATAATTTTAATAAAAAAAGAGAGAAGGAAACTAAATAATTCTGACAATATATTTAAAAAAAATGTCGTCAGAAAAAAATTCATATATTATATTATCTTCTCTTTTTTAATTTCACACGCAGTTGATTTGAAAAGATTGAAGGAGAGTCCGTCATGAATGTAAAAGCTAGGAAATTCTACAGCTATATCCACCACGAAAAAGAGAAAAATTCAAATTCCTGAAACAAGCTTTCCAGGAAGAGGCCGGGGGTCACGCAATCGTAAATCCTCGTCCCTACCACTATCTCTAGAGGACAGAGACATATCCTCATCCTTCCGTTGCAAACCCAAACGTACTTAACACGTTTCACTTCTTCATTGGCCCCGTGAAACACTATTAACCTACAGCCAACCATATTCTGCCACCTCACCCGGTTTCTCCCTTCGTAGCTTCATCGAGCAGCATGGGATCTGGACCCTTAAGATGCCACCTGCACAACCAACCACACACGTACACTCACTCGTCCTCCCAACAATCTCCGGGGGGCCCACCACTTCACGGGGATGCTTCTCTCCTCCTCCTTGGTTTAATTTCTAGTTTCCTACATTCTGCGGCATCCAAATATTTTGCAGTTCCTGTAAATGATTCGGCCATTTGGAAAACAGACAAAATTGAAGGTTTAAGTCTAACGCTAATGATCAAAGCAGTTTTTGTTTTCGTATTAAAAATAGCTTTTTTTACCGCGCATGTAATTGATCTGGTCTCTCTCGAGGCACAAATCCGTGTTGCCGCGTGCTTATTGCTTGCTTTTTTTCACCCGTCTTCCCCCATGGACGTACAATTACAAGAAGAAAATTAATGGAGCAGCTGGGGCACACTCCTATCTCGCTTTTTCTCTCAATATAATTCCCCCTCCTCCTCAAACTAACCACCTTGTTTCCTTCTGGATCTCCCTCTCTCGAGGCCTGAATGGATGAGACTAAACCAAAGACGGTGGTGGAGAGGGAGGCCTTGGGGGGTTACGAGGAGAAGAAAAATGGAGTCTTCTGGGGGGAAGATGACCAGAGGAAGAAAGTGTCCGTCAAGAAAGGGTCTACCGGCGGCGGAGGAAGTGGTATGCGGTGTTGCCAGGCGGAGAACTGCTCTGCGGAGCTCAGTGATGCGAAGCCGTATCATAAGAGGCACAAGGTGTGCGAATATCATGCCAAGGCTCAGGAAGTGGTCGTTTGCGGCATCCGACAACGTTTTTGCCAGCAATGCAGCAGGTTCGGGGAGGTTCGACTTTTGGGTTTTCATCCCATTTCTTTCTCTGTTACTTCTATATACTCTTGTGTCTTGTCTGGGTTTCTCATGGTTGCTATATTTTGGTTCATTTATACTCAGAGGAATATAATGATCTTCAAATTCAAAGGTTCCTGTTTTAACTTATTCTCGTGTCCCCCGTTGGGATGCTTTCTTCATCATGATTTGGGGAGGAAATATTCTTCAGAACATATCGGCTTGTCTTGTTTTTTCAGCATTGTGTCAGAAACATAGTATTAGGTCTAGTACTCCACTGATTGGAATCTTCCGTCATGCAGTTCTCTGTTGATTCAAGTTGATATTATATATAATATATTATATAACACATGTGGATATGCATCGCGCAATACGATATTTTAGTGGGGTTTTTTAATTGATGAGCAGATTCCATGAGTTGGGTGAGTTTGATGAGACGAAAAGGAGTTGCAGGAGGCGTTTGGCTGGGCACAACGAACGACGAAGGAAGAACTCAGTGGGTGAGGCTCAGGCAGAAGGGTCGGGCCAGAAAAGAACAGGAACTCATCAGCTGAAGGACGGGGTTTGTGGTGATGATAGAACCAGAATCCAGATCACTATATAAAAGAGAATGCCCTCTTTGAAATATTTTCCCAAATAAGATGAGAATGCGATATCATTCCATTTAATTGCTTGCTTTTCTATTAAAGCATGCTCTCTCTCTTCTGTCATCCCTGGGCATGTGTTCTCTAATTGCTCCTAATTTGTATGCGTTTAGATCAAAGACTAGTGTATCAAACAGGGCAATAACATTATTCCTTCACTGGACTTACTGTTGCCAATCTATCAGCAGAGATTATGATTATGATTATGATTATGATTATGAACTTCTTGTTCTACTCATTGTGTTCAGTCTTTATAAACGCTTTCCGTATATTGCTTTTCCCTCCTTCATCATGCTTTATCCTGCACTTCCACCAGAGAAATTAGACTGGTTTAGCCATTTTGGATTGTCTGGTGAGCTCAATGCTAAAGGGTTATTGTCCGGTCCATGATCATTTAGACTCTGATCAGAGCCATTGTTATGTTATTGACCGGCTTTAGTTCACTCAAATTCACTCGCATGTACTTGATGAGGAGATCATGATCATTTCAGTCGCATATACTAGATTTTATATTTATGTCCCAAGTTAGTAGCTCACTAGTACGTTGTTAACTGGATAGAGAAGTTTTAAATTTTACTTTGTGCTGAAATTTGTCGGACTGTTGAATGCTTTGCATCGACCACATGACTATTTTTATTAATTTTTATATTTAGAATCGGAATAGTATTGGAAAAAAAAATCTTGTCGGCGATGCAGGCATGGGTAAAATGTGCGTCCAGCGAAGGAGGAGAGCGAACGTGCCTTTGTATGCTAATAAACCAAGAATGAACAGGAAAACGTCTTCTCTTCCCGGCCGCTTGAGCGTAGGGCCACTTCGTGTCTTTTAATAATTTATAGTACTGTATTGTAGTTTAATTTTAATCTTCTAATTGTTAAATCATTTTTTAATTTATAATATTTCTATTTTATTATTATTCTTCATACCAAAATGTCATGCACATGCCAATAATTCACCCAGATCAAAGCATCAGTTTCCCACCTGCTTGTGTCCATATAGGAAGACTGTTATGTTTTGGTTTTATCAAATTTTGAGTAAAAACACAAGCGGAGGAACAACAATGCAAATGCAGGGAAGCACCCTTTTTCAATTTACTCAAGGACTTTCAATGAAATTAATAAATTTATAAATCAATTAAGTTAATCTCTGGAATGGTGGAAGCCTAAAGACTCGGGAGGGAGACGTTGCTGGGTATCTGAACAAATCCAGCTAATAGGATCACGTATATTTATTATGAAGGCCCTCTAAGCCTTTTTTTTTTTTAATTTTTTTTCTCGATATCCTGAACTAAGACCATCTTCCAGACACATCAACAGATTCAGACTAAACCGGAACGTACCGTGGAGGTCCCAAAGGGGCATTAATGCTGGCTACGATTCCTGCTGCGTACACATCCCCATATCAAACCTGGGACGGATGCTACAGCAACCCAAGTACCTGCCACTTGTGCTGGGTCTCGTGGTTAAGGCCCTCTAAGCCTTTAATGCATCATCAATTAGATGACAAAGCCAGATGGTAGCTGCAGAGAAAGTGACGGGGAGGAAATGGACGAAATTTTTCACGCCATACATGCTGTGTCAAATCAAAAACCTCGAAACTTAATTGAGGAAATGATGGTGAATTCATTCATTTTTTTAATTAGTTAATAATATTATTATTATTTTATAATATGTCAAATCTCATCGGTTAAAGTTTAGATCTAATAATGAATACTATCCCCGAACCTAATTATAAGAGCTAGTTGACTAATTTAAAAATATTAAGAAAATAAGTTAAGGTAATTATTTATAATAAATAGGTGTTGTCTTTTTCAAAATATCATTGCTAATCAAGTTTATCAGCTAGAACTACTATTATTAAATGGACTATCTTAGAAAAGAATACATAAATATGAGAGACAAAATATATTAGAGTCTTGTAATTACAATCAAAATAAAAATCAAATAAGATTATATATTAAAAACTGAAGATAGTAACTTGTTTCTTTCGGGAACGAAGGGTACCTAGGTTCCTTTGTTTAATTTTGCCAGTGGAAAAAGCCAGTCCATAGTCTAAGGATTGGTCAAAATTATGAGGAAAAAAGACAGAATTCAGTTGTTTGGTGAATTTTGGTAATTCAAATGCGTGTGGGTTAATTAACAAAATCCGCCCGCGGGTATCAGATGAGATCAACCAGAAGCGCAGACAAATATATATGCAGCTACGCAGCACTGCAGAATTGGAGACTACGTTGATTAAAGGGATCTCCAGATGTATATGCATAAAGTCAACTTTACCCCCGCCTTCAATTTGCGAAAATCAGTTAGCATAAAAATTACTTTCACTAACATTAATCCAAACAAGCTTGTTTACGAAGTATTTGAATGAAACCAAATCATAATTTGAAGAATAGCTTTTAGAAAATAAATTTTCAGAATAGATTTTGAAAGAATAAATTTTGTAAAAAAATAATTTTGATAAAATGAAAATATTTGAGTGGTTGTTATCATAATCATTTTTTCCTGTGTAAATTACAAAAATGGACATAAGTTAATATAATAACTATAAGAAAAAGATTTTGTTTTTTAAAAATAATCAATTTTTAAATAATAAGTTGTATAAAAAAGTATAATTAATTAATATTACTTCCGGTCCTTAATATAAGAGCTAACTCGATATTCAATTTGATTTTGAATATAAAATTGTAATCAATTTTGTCTCTCATATTTATTCTTTTTTTATATCTTAAACCATGGTTTTATACCTTCAAAAGTAAAAAAAGAAAAATTCACTTTATGAAAAACCATGGTTTAACCACGTGATTTTCAATTCAAAAGTGATTTTGCAAAAACTCATGGTGTTTGGCTATTTTTTTTTTCGAACCAGGATTTTCAATCAAAAAATGATTTTGTAAAAAATTGATATGTTTAGATAGTTGGATTCCCAAACCATGACTTTCAAACATGTACAGAAACATCTGTACACTTGTAAATTTAAACAGAAATGCTATCTGGCTCGTTCTAATGGACCAGCATAAAAACTAGATGGTTCAGCCCTTAATTATTAAAAAAAAAAAAAGAGCTCCGCCCAAGCTCATGTTTATCTTGGTAATTGTCAGCCAAAATTCTATAATTAATTATAAATCCAAGGAAATAATTCATCACTCATCACAAGTAATGAATGGTAAATCATTCATTTTCTGGTAAAATGTTAGACTAAACAAAAAAAGGTTCTTGTTTTTCTTGGGTATTTTCTCAGAGTTACGAATCACAATCACAGAAGCATCATGCCTTTGGAATACACAGGCCTTTCTGATGCATTGTATATAGACACGAACACATATCTTGTTTATCCAGCCTTTCACATGTAACTGATACTGTATCTGCATGCATTTACATGTATTATAAACTCTTCGCTCTTAATTACATGGTACTTTCAATATGTTTTATACAAGTTAAACAAAATTTTAAACCGTATTAATTCTGTCTTAAAATATAATAATTTTTTAATTTTGTTCATGAGTTGTGTGTAGAGTAGATCATGGTTTTGTTGAGTCATGCGTATGACTCATAGCTGGTTTCGGTTTGGATAAAGAAGTCTAACTAAAAATATTTGAGTATGTGACAATTGCATGGTTGGTATAAACTGAACATGTTTCTCGTCCGTGACTCTAAAATGTCAAATTTAACCACGAGATAACAAAGTGTGGATTAGATGTAAAAGTACAATGCATTTTTTTTTTTCCCACAGAAGACTACATAGAAATTTATTGCATAAAGTAAAAATCTGGATCCTTACGAAACCTTCTCATATGATACAATTATGCATCAGCAGCCAACCAACCCAGCACATCGTTCAAAAGAAGCGTTCTCTCTTTTCCCTCATTAAAGTAATCCCTTTGATCATTTCCCCGCCAGGTGGCTGCTAATGACCGACTCAAGCCATCAACCACACCACCTCATGATTGATTATGATGTTATCCAACCACGTCTCTGTAATCAAATCCCCTGTTTTTTTTAATTAATCCCCTGTCATTAAAAATCACGAACATTTTAATTTTTGATCATTTTTACTTGGTTCATGAAAGGATATTAATATTTTATACTTAAACAGTACCGAGTGGTTCAGTTGAATAAGTAGAAGGCTTAAAAAAACTAATTAGATACTCCTCAAGTTCTAAATATAAGACCTTTATAAATATACGACCCTTATACAAGTATAAGGGTCTTATATTTAGGATCAGAGGAGTAATTCATTTTTTCTGTAATAAAGAGCAAAAGAAAGAAAGAAAAATTTTGTTTTGTGTATCGGAAAAATTTTCCATGAACCCAAACAGAACCAAAGAAGGAAGTGGGAAAGAAGCAAGGGCGATATATGTTGTGAAAGCGAAAAATTGGAGGGCAGAGAAAGAGGACTAATTAATTAAGAAAAGAAAAGAAAAGTCATCCTCGAGAACGCGTTCCTTTTCAAATAACGCGGTCTATAAAATGTTAAAGTAACCCGGTTGTCACGTGCTTCCAAGTCAAAGCTTTCTTATTTATACACCTGTCCTCTCTCTCTCATAGATCTTCATTTTCCATCTCTCTCTAGACTCTCAGAATCTCTCGTTGCAATAAAAACATGACTGGCAGGGAAATCCTCATCAAGATGAAGGTAACACGAGAGCATCCAATCTTCTTATGCTTAATTAAACGTGCCCAACTGTTCTGATCCTCCCTTCTGTTGAAATGGTAGCAGATTATTAGTGGAATTTGTTCATGTTTCTTTTCTGCAATTGCAATTGCTTACAATATTCTGTAGTTATCTTCAAGTTACAGATTTTTTTTTCAAATGAGTGATGCAGCATGTTTAGCCCTTCGACTAGTTTGATTAACAGTATTCGAAGTTAGAGCTTTACGTTGGCCAAAGACCAGAAATTTAGAGCTTCATCTTTACGTTGTTCATATGGGTTTGTATTCGGATAAGGATTAACTCTCCTTGAAGAACACCACGATAAAATGCTATGTGGTTATATATATCAGGGGCTTTTTTGTGCATTGCATCAGATATGCTTAAGTAGAAAGCTGAAACTGATGGCGACTATTCTTAATGGCATATTAACGTCTAAAATGGTGGCCATAAAGACCTGTGGTAATTTGAAGAAATTTAGATGTTGACCTTCCAATGAGCCGATACTGCCAAAAAAAAATTTTCTTTCAGATTCTTATTCTTTTTCAACATGAAATGACCTTGTACAATTTAATAATCCCTTTTGCTTGCCCTTTCAATATTAAAAGTTGAAGTCCACGAGGCTTCATTTCAATTCCAGAGCTTGGCTTTCAAAGGAATGAAGGCTGAGATTGATTTTACTTTTGCTTGTAGGCCAAGGCTGGGTTTGGGACATCAGCAACTGACACAGGAAAAGGAAAAAGCAAAATGTCAAAGCATATCACACATGGCTTCCACTTAATGAAGGGAAAATCAGGCCATGCTATGGAAGATTATTTAGTTTCAGAATTTAAGCAAGAAAAGGACAAAGAGTTAGGATTGTTTGCTATATTTGATGGCCATTTGGGTCATGATGTTGCAAGCTACTTGCAGAACCACCTTTTTGACAACATCTTGAAACAGGTAATTGTCAGATTATTTCAACTCAGGTGCGTTAACATGGAAAGTAGCTGTTAGGATGTGTTCGGATTGAGGGAAAGGAGGAAATATTTCATTTTAGATGTAATTGAACCTTTGTCTCTCCTCCATTCTCCTTAATCCAAACAAAATCTTAGATTTGGTGTTTTCCATAGTTTTTTTCCCCTTTCTTTTAAACCCGCTTCGCGTGTTCTTCTCTAATGCATTTTTTTCTTCCCTGCAAGCAGCCTGACTTCTGGAATGACCCAGAAAGTGCGGTAAGGAGAGCTTATCTTACAACAGACGAGGAAATATTGGGACAAGCACTTGTCTTGGGACGAGGAGGATCAACTGCAGTAACTGCAATACTGATTAATGGTCAGAAGCTCGTAGTAGGGAATGTTGGAGACTCTCGAGCTGTAATTTGCAAGAATGGAAAGGCAGAGCAACTATCAGTTGATCACGAGCCAAGCAAGGAAAAAAGGTTGATCGAGAGCCGTGGTGGTTTTGTGTCAAACATTCCAGGTAGCCAGCTGTTTGAGATGTTCTTATGATCTTCTGTCAATGTAAAACTCAATTTTTTTTTCCAAATCTAGAAAGTAGTACAGTTAAATCCCCCCCCCCCCAAAAAAATCTAGAAAGTAGTACAATTGCATGAGTTTGAACTGCTGGATCTTTTAATGCCAAGTAATTGACTTGCTGAAAATATTGAGCCCAGTAGTGTTACCTGTACTCTGAATCTGGTTTCTAAGAGCAGTTCTAAATTTCTGATTCTTGCAGGCGACGTCCCTCGTGTGGATGGACAGCTAGCAGTAGCCAGGGCTTTTGGTGATAAGAGCCTGAAGATGCATCTTAGTTCAGAACCTGATGTGGCGATCAAGGAGATAGAAGATGATACAGAATTCCTTATTCTGGCAAGTGATGGAATATGGAAGGTAAAATTTCTAGCCGTTTTCTTACTCTTCTAATCCATGCTTCATATTCTAATACACCTAAGAATTCTCAATCTTCAGTAAAGATTTAGATATTTTGTTGACGTTAACAGGTTGTGTCAAACCAAGAAGCAGTGGAGTCTATTAGACAAATAAAGGATGCTCAGGCTGCAGCGAAGCGTTTGATAGATGAGGCCGTTGCTAGGAAGAGCAAGGATGACATATCCTGCATTGTTGTGAGGTTCCAATGATATGTTCTTGAGACATGAACTTAGGAAGTCACAGCAATCGATTGTGTGTATAAATGTCAGATATGTTTCTACATTTTTCCTCAAGATTCTTTAATATGTATGTCTAAATGAATTAGTTTGGATGGTTGCAACCCCATTACAGGATCTGCTTCATCTGTTTAGGATTTGTTATTTAACCGTAAGATCTTTGTGCTTGAATGTGGCTGGCTTTTAAGTCGCCTATCCTTCTGTTTCTACCCCCTTGGAAAGTGAAAACCAGTGCACAAATAGAAGTTGGTTTAAGTGCTTCTTAGTATGAATAGTTTTTTTTTTTTTTTGCATAGTGCACTGGGCCAGCTCTTATGTCATGAGAAACTCAACAAATCTAGATTAATCTGGATTCGAAGCATGACAGGAACCGTTAAGGTTAGAATTCCTGATTCCTAGGATGTTGCATTCTCATGTCTTAAACTCCAGACCTATACTTAAGCTGAAATAACTCTTGGCAGTCAATTCAACCTGTCGGGGTTTAGTATGAATAGTTTATCTGATGGATCCATAAAACTTAAAGTTCACAAAAGCTTTTTGATAAATCCAATTAATAAGTAATCTAAATAATAGGGAAACGAGCATAGAGAAGCATGATAATAAATTGCCCGTCATTAAATTTGCATCTCTGTTTCCTTTGTTTCTTTGCCTTTGGTTACTATCACTTTCACCAGATTGTTCTGTTGAGCAATTTTATTTGTAAATGCAATCATTTTATTCACTCTTAACTAAGCAATAGCTATAAATGATTCATATAATTCAAACTAATTAATATAAACGCATCAATAAGAGAAGTTATAGCTCAAAAGAAGAAACATGAAATACTGAGAGAGAAACATGACGAGACAGAGAGAGACGCATAAGGAATGGCCACTCTTTCTCACTACAGAGGCTCTTATTACTTCCATCTGACTATTTCTCATATTGATCTCTTTTTTTAAAAAAAAAAAAATTGGTTGGGGGCTGAGCTTTGTGTATTATTTTGGGAGAATTACAACTAAGTCCAACAGAAAAAAATAATTATTAAAAAGTCCCAATAACAATCTGAACATTCTATAATGACAAGTCTTACAGTAGAAAATAATAACTTTTAGGACTTGTTTTGTTATTTTTTTTCTTTTATAGGACTTGATTGTAATTCTCCCTCTTATTTTGTCTCTGCTAGAGAGATGATTATAGATGTCTGTTGATTACACTCATCAAGAATGATGCTCCGGTTATAAAATAAATTTTATCCATTTATATTTATTAAGAAATTAGTTAAAATTAGTTTAAAATGATAAAATGTAGGGAATACATTTTTTCACAAATATACCCTTATTGATAAAGAAAATAAGTAAAAGATACTCCTTCGGTTCTTAATATAAGATCTAATTATGGAGTTGATTTTGGTACTAAATATAAGACCCATTTCTCATAATTATCAATTTTCTCTAAATTACCCCTATAGATACTCCCTCAACTATAATCAAGTAGAAGAGGAAGAGGGGTATTAAGAAAGATAATTATGGTATTTTAAGAAAAACGTGTCACATTTCTTATAATTAACTAATTTACCTAACTTCCTTAATCTAATCAAATTAGTTAAATTGGTCTTATATCAAGGACCGGAAGAGTATAATAAATGAATCAAAGAAGAAAAAGAATATATTAGGGGCAAAATTTTAAAAAAAATCATTAAATAATCAGACGAAGGTGAAAGTTATTTTATAAAAAAAAAATTAAACATCTCTAACAAAGTTTATCTTATATTTTTTAACCGGAGGCAGTACCTTCTATAGTATGCCACGATTAATTTCTCATTTGATTTATAACATGGCCACGCATCTGATTTGCAACACCCCTTTCTTCATTTTATTGAAAATAAAAAATACACATTACTCAGAATTTTCATATGCACATATTTAGGGATTAGGAGGGCTGCCAAATGAAAGTTGGCTCATTAAAAATGTTTTAAAAAAGCCTGCAATACATTCTAAAAGCATCTTTTTTTTTTTTTTGGCCCGCCAACCTTAAAGCACCTTATTTAAAGTTATAATCTATATTGATTTCTATTTCCAATAAGATCAAAGTAGAAAAAACAAATAAAATCCTCTGTATATTATTAAATTAGACTTATTTTTAAAAAAAATTAAAAAAGGACCTAGTGAACAGGAGAGGGTAGGATTTATTTTGCATGACATTATTATTGAATATAAAATTATTAAATGAAATATAGCAAAATTGACTTGAAATCAAAGGGCCGATATGTTGGCTAAATCTGCTAACAAGTCACGGAAAAAAATTTTTATCTTTCATCAACCTCCACCTCTTATTTAAGAGGCGAGATTGATGAGAAAAGATATGCAACAGAGGAGCAGAAAAAGAAAACATTTTTTGTCACAAGACACTAAGAAAATTTTTTTATATAGATATACAATTTTATCTATTATTTATTATTATATTAAATTTATTTACATAAAATGTAATGTATATTAAATAAGAATAAAGTTAAAAATTATTAAATTTTAAAAAACAGTTAATAAAATTTAAAGTTTTTCTTAATCTATATAAAATATGTTGAAAATAACTTATAAAAAGGATCAGAAAAGTTGTTTTAGTCTCTTACTTCTCTGGTCCTATTTATAAGGCAGTGAGAGAAGGTTTTATTGGTGTTATTTATAAGTCACTTCATTAAATTTTCAGTGTGAATATATTATTTTGTCTTTCGTTTGTTATGATGTAGGTATTTATTTTTTTTAAAAGGTATATATATTAAATATGGGTAAAATTGAAAATTTGTTATATTCTGATAGAGAATTAATACATTTTAAAAATTTTTTTAATCTGTGTGAAATATATTGAAAGTATTTTATAAATAGGACGAGAAGAGTATTTTGTTATATTTATTTTGAATTAGTAGTACAGTTTCCTGTGATAAAAAAAAAATAGTACGGTTTCCCATTAAAAAAGGGGGACGATGGATGGATGGGAGTCAGCAAGGAGTCAATTAGAAGTGGAACAAGTGTCCACGGGAATGAATTATTTCATATTTATCGGGAAAGAAAGTGCGGGGAAGTTACAAGGCGTTGTCCTAAAAGTGAGTTCCCAGATGAGTTCCATTTTGCACGATTCGAGGAACCCTTTTGTTTAGTTTAATTAATAATATGGGCTTCACATCTCTGGGTTCACTGAAATTAATGGGCTCGGTCCAGACTCAGAGGTGGCCTTCTTCCTTCCGCTTTGCCCGCCAATTCCAGACATCTGGCTCCGTTCTTCTCTGATTGGCCCCAAACCAAACAACCACCTTTTTGGCCCAAAAAACTGTAAATCCACGTGGCAGCGTTTCCCTTTATCAATTATGGAGAATTTGATAACTTTGCGTTTCACGTAAAAATCAACTGAATGTATCTCTTTTCCTTTTAATGCGAGCTTCTTCTAGATCAAACCAGTGAATGAATGTGAGCAATGTCCACATCTCCCTTCAGAAACAGTTCAATTTAATTAATAATCCTTGGAATCATAAAAATACGTTTCTTTGACTATCATGGTGCAATAATAATCTCCCTTGACGCTATTACAGTAAATCGGGGGAATATTTTTTTGGCTTATTTTAATACATGCATGATATTATACTCTTATTTAAGTTTTGAAAATTAATAGGTCATTAAACTAATCGATACAGTAATGTAATAGTCAAGCAATTTAAATCAACATCAATATAAGGTTAGGCCCGCTATAATTAAATAACTAAATTTTGACTAGAATATAAAAATATTCATATATAACTTTTTTTTAAAAAAATCATATTTAAATAAAACGATAGTGATTTATAAGCAAATAAAATGGTTATGTATAAATCACACATGATTTAATAAAATGAGATTACAAAATCATGAATCTCACAACTTACCTTTTCTTTTTAACCCTAACCAATGTTATTGCTGGTTTAACTCAATAGAAATGTCCGAAACTCTCAACCCAGCTAGAGAAAAGATTGATTTACCGATTCACTCATATGATGAATGAACTCAAATTGAATTTTAATATCGTGAATTCATGAAACGGGTTGTTTTTTAATCTGCAAGTTATGTCCTGTAAGAATATTGAAGAAAAACAAAACAAAACAAAACAAAAGGGGATATGGGGGAAGTGAAAGGGAAAGAGTAAGAGAGAGGGTGAAGTGATCTAGAATATTCAGACAGATATTTAAAGTGGAAGAGAGATGAGACAGCAACACATAAGCCGGGCTCTTATTGGGACACTGCCACATACCCTCCTTTGCATGCCCATCTCAAATCTGATGCAGCCACGCTTCTCCTTCCTCCTTTCTCTCTCCCCCTTCTGATTAACCACCTTCTTCTTCCTCCGTCTCCTCTCCTGCTCTTGGCTCTTATATATCTCTCCCCTCTCCTTTCGTTCCATTCTGTCCTCTTCTTCTTTCCCTTCAACCTTCTCACCTTTCCCTCTCTGCAACAATGAGCAGCGTCTGTGCTGATCAGCACAAGTTTCTTCCCTTCTCTCCCAAGAAATCCCTCCCCGACATCCCTCCCCGCAAGCTCCTCACTCGCCGTTCTGCCGCCTCCGCCATCCACGACCCCGACATGTTCCCTGACTCCCCCCGCTTTTCCTCCTCCGACGAGGCTTTCCTTCACAAGTTTCTCCCTCGAAACAACCTCAACGTCGACTCTGACGACGATGATTCTGATCCCTATTCCTCTGACCACTTCCGCATGTACGAGTTCAAGGTCCGCCGCTGCACCCGCAGCCGCAGCCACGACTGGACTGACTGCCCCTTTGCTCACCCCGGTGAGAAGGCCCGCCGCCGCGACCCCCGCCGTTTTCATTACTCCGGCACTGTCTGCCCCGAGTATCGACGCGGTGGGTGCAGCCGCGGTGATAGCTGCGAGTTTGCGCACGGCGTGTTCGAGTGTTGGCTTCACCCTGCCAGGTACAGAACTGAGGCTTGTAAAGATGGGAAGAATTGTAAGCGAAAGGTGTGTTTCTTCGCTCACACACCTCGCCAGCTGAGAATTTTGCCTGTTAATTCTCAGTCCCATGATTCTTCATCTGCCGACCATCACGCTTCGTGCAAGAATCATAATAAATTCCTGAACCCCACCTCTGGATCCAACAATTGCTGCTTGTTTTGTCATCGTTGCGCTGCTGGTTCTACCTCATCTCCAACATCCACGCTGTTTGGAATGTCCCATATGTCACCGCCACTTTCTCCGTCGTCTTCCCCTGTTTCACCGCCTCTTTCACCGGTGAAACGCCGGTCGATTGTGAATGGAGTGTCACCAATCTCTCGATATTGTGACAGACTTGCAGGATGCGAGACATTGTCATCCAGTAGGCTGATGAATAGTCATGGGCTGGCGAGCTATAAGGATGCTCTCACTGAATTAATGAGCTCCTTGGAGGGTCTGAATTTCATTGAAGCCAACGCTTCGCCTGTTTCTGCCACAAAATCCCTAAATCTTCCATGGCTTGACATGTCTTTGATTAACTGTGAAGACCAGCAGCAGCAGTTCATTCTTTCACCCGGCGCTTCTTTTAGCTTTGAAGATCAGCAGCAACAGTTTATTCTTTCGCCATCTGCTCATAGTTCTCCAACAACATCTTCTGTTTCTTCAAGCTTCTCCAATGGGAAATTGTATCCAAACAGTACATATCTCAGCAGTGAAAGCAAGGCTGTTTCAACTGATAACGGGTCCTCTTGCTCAGCCCCAGATCTCGGCTGGGTCAACGAGCTGCTGATGTAGAAGACGACGAAACCGGTGACGACGACGACGAAGGAAGTGTAAATACAATATCAAGCAACATTACTTGTCTGGCGTATTGTTATTGTCATTATTATTATTGGTATTGTTTTTAAGTTCATTTCTTTCTCTGAATTTGCAGCCAAGTTTGTGACTACATGTACCTGTGATTTAATATACGCATTTAGATTTGAATGTTCCTGTGTAAAGGGAATTGCTGATTCATGGAGTAGAAATGAGCCATGATTTTGGTTTGTTCCTGTGCATTAATTAATTATTTTACATTTTCTTCTGTCATCTCCATGCCTGAGGTATATTACGTGTCAAAGCTAACCTTAATAAAAGCCTGTATATTCGGTTTGCGAAGTCTCGTGCTTGAGATATTTTTTTGTCATTCTTTTAGACTCTGCTAGTAAGGCGAATCTTTACACATGGCAAGCATGCAATGTTTATCGTGGTTTCTTTCAGGAATGTTGTTGGCTATAAAACGGGAAGTTTTAGTTTTAGCCTTGTAATGGTTATTATCATTGATCTGATTTTTTTACGAGCACAGATTGTACCGTAAAGTTCGTTTTACTTTTTTTTTTTTGGAGTAAATTTGTTATTCCTACTCATAAGGTTAGGATAATGTTAGGCAAAGCAAGTGCGAGAGAAGTGTACTGTCTGGCATGCGTTGATTAAAGCTTTGTTTTGAATCACAATTATAAGCATGTAAGTCCTCGTATTTCATTCATGATTAAAAAATTGTGTATATGTCTAAATTGACACCTTCCATCTTTTCTGAGAAACATTTTTGTTAATTTTTTCCCAACGGAGTGAATTAAGCGTAAGAATGAGACCGGAATATATAGATATCGCATTTTAATTTTTTTTTTCTTATTCTGATTCTTCCAAAAGAAAAAAGGTGGGAATCAAACAAGAATTAATGGCCAAAAGTGTCCCATTACCAAACGGAATTATGACTCTAACTTGCGCGACCACCTCAATTAATTGGATGTTGAACTAAAACGTACGAGTTAGTTATGCATAATGATGTTTAGGTAGTTAGCCATGGTTGATTAGAGAAAAATATCCGTGCTTTAAAAGCGCAAGAGGTTAAATCCATTATCCATCAAATGAAAACAAGGAGACGAAAAACTTTCGAATCTTCAATGGTAGCGTCAAGCTAGAAGGGGAAATTAAAAGTCATTTCATCAGCCGTAACCCACAAGATTTCCGACAACCTTATAGAGAATGATACAGTATGCACAGTGCAAAGTATTGTTCATGGCAAAAACTACAGGGAAAATTGACGATGTAACCATGCCCACTAATTAATATTTTTCCGATTTTAAATATAAAACTTATTTTTTTATAGTAGATTGGACAAAATAACACAAGAAAAAACCATTATTTTTCCTTTTCTTCGCCATCTGATGAAGAAATAAAAGCTATAATATTTGCTACTATTCATTAAACATGAACAATAGGCTATATTCTGAACTCAGTGTGAAACATGAGATCAGTGTTCAGTATTCATATTGCAGGAGCTTTTTGTACGAGTCATTATTTAGCTTAGAACATGGAGATGGTCGTGCGGGGACTTCCAAGTACGAGAGACATTATTATCTACTTAGTTGCACTGTATCCCTTAATTGAAGGTTTGAGTTATGTATCTAATTAATTTCCATTATTCCAGGAATTGTTTGTTAATGTATGTGGTCTTTTTATTAGTAATTGCATTCGCAGTTAAACATAACGAAGATAAGGAATTGTGTTATGTAAAGTTTCAAAATATACCAGTTTTTTCAAGCCATCCCAACGAGAACGTGCATGTTTATCCTAAACAGCAAACACGTATACGGGTGACTCACACTATCAATTAAATTTTATGTCCATTATATTGATTTGATGATTTGAGTAGGGTTCATGCACCTTATGAATCTATTTCTTTATTTTATATATATTTTTTCTAATCCAGTAAGGATAGCAGTCAAGCTGCCAATCATATATACGTGTATGCATCTGTATCTGTTTGCGTGCGTTCATAAAGCACATCGAGTGTTCACGAATTTGACAAGGACTTGCTGCATCCAATAGTTAGAATGAAACAAAGCCCATTGAGTTGAAATTATATTCAAATGATAAGATAATAAATACAATGAGAACACATTTGTGAATTGGTAATCGGAATACGATTCTATTCTAATGTTTTTTGGAGTGGAAATTGTAAATGATAAAAACTGAAAAGACGGGAAAATAACTAAATACTCATGGAGAGGAAAAAATACATAATAAACTGTAATTCTTTGAATTAACATTACCATTTACAATAAACATTTCAAAATTATGACTAAAAAATAAAAAAAAACATAATTAGTTACAAGAAAATTATAATCAATCTCTTCAAATAAAAATTTAACCTCTCGTAATATTGAAAACTATCTTTGTTTACTTATTTAGAATGAAAAACCGGAAATTCGAAGAAGTGACAGTGTCTGAGGTCAGCAAAAAGGAATCATTGATTTTTCACCAAAAAAAAAAAAGAATCATTGATTCATGATTCTCTATCCAGTGCTAACCAAATTAACCTGCTTCTTGAACAGTATTTTTGCCTCCCTTTTTACCCTCCTTTCTCATTTTCTCTTACATTCATATATAGCTACGTGCCAGACTTGTAGTAAAAAAACCTCCAACTCATTAATGCTAGTTAAGAAGTAATGTAGCTGATCAAAGCCCTTGGACCAAGGTCGGCATTCACATGTACATAAAACCTTACTGCCAAGCACTTCGCCCATATATGTAGTATAATCAAAAGTAGGGTTATGTTAAGAGAGGATTCTAGCTAGACGCAAAGAATTTAAGAGAGGAGAGAGCATTTCAATATCAGAATACCATATTGGAGTATAAATCCAAAATAGGTAGAGGGGCGATAAAATACAGATCTATATACGTGTTGCTATTGATTGCTGAGTAAGGAAGAAAATTGAATCCTCCGCAGGAAAGTAGCTGAGCTAGGGCGCTGTTAGTATAGGGCACCATTCCTTGATACTGATAGAATAATACTTGTTTCCTAGGAGGCCAGCTCAATTATATCCTAGACAGGCACAGTGGTGGGGGCAATATAACCCATAAGGGTGTGTTTGGAATAACTCTTTTGGTGGGGTTTGGTGACAAGGCCATTAGGGTTAGGTAGTGATTGCCAGCCAAAAACCCTGCCATGAAATGGCGTGGGATAGGGGAGCAACCCATGCTAAAACGACCCTTCCCTCATAGATAGAGGTTTGTGTGAGGTCCCCTAGCTATCTGCCTTACCTTTTGATTTGATGTGTCTCTCGTTGGACTTTAATTTCTGTTTTTATGGCACAGAATTAAAACCAAAGGCCTTTCGTGGGACAAGAAGCCCATACTGTGTTTTTGCTTCTTGTGACTTTCTTCGGCTCTGGAAAATACTGCCGACACGTCTAGATGGGTACGTTTTCTAGCTTGTCATCTCTCTTTCTGCAGTGTCTCGGCACAGAATAATTCTGATGAAGGACTCAGTATTTTTAATTGTTTCCTGACAATGGTTGGTGACGAGGGAAAAAAAAAAGAAGAACAAAAGTCTTTTAGCAGGTTATTACAACGTTGTCTTCTTGCATATGATGACATTAATTCATCCCCAGATCACCCATATGATCGAGAGACTTCTTTGCCGAGAAGAAGAAACCACGCCAGAAAGTTTTGCTCTTGTACAAACACAATGAACCCAGAGCGCTTGAAGGGGCCAACAACCAAATTATACCAATGGTTAAGATTTTGCAGATGGGGCGGCTTTTAATTAAAGACTTGTAACTTTTATATTTGAGGAAGAGAATGCATGTAACACACGCAAGTACACAGATGTGAATGTTTTGCATCAAATAACAAGGAATGAAATAGTTAGTCCAAATTAAAGAAGGAAATCTAATATAGTACACCTGTATTGTCAGACTGTGGACATATTATTCTTGTTCTGTTACATGACATATGGCCACGGAATTGTATTGTACGGCACCAGAGAGACTGACCGTGAAGAGAAAAAGGGAATGAGCTAAGTTTGGACCGCCTACGTTAAAAGGGGAGACAGTTTACTTCATGTGTAGAAGGATACAAATTAATGAAGATAGAAAGGAATAAGAACAGTTTCGGTCATCTTTACATGTCAGATGCAGCTTACAAAGCCTTTCTCTTAAAATTTGAAACTACTTATATGGGACATCTATATCATATTTCACTCTCATATTTACAGGACGATATTATTGGAGTACTGACAAATTAAAATTGAGGAAAGTAAAGAACACGAAAATATATTGAAGTCCGGAGAGCATTCCTTCTATCCCTTTTTTTTTTTTAAAAAAAAAAAACTGGATTATATATGTAGGGGAGAATTCAATTTCAAATTCTCTCCATATTTGATATGGGGTATTTTGTAATTTCCCCCCTAAATCACTCTCACTCGCAAGACATCCATTGAATACCCCGGCTGCAGTGTAGGAAAATGATTATCTACTGTCAAGTGAAACAAGTGGCGTGTGAGTAAATATCTCAGATGCACAGACCCATAAAATCAAAGTGTTGTAGTGTGTAGTTCTGGTGGCGCAGGAGGGAACTGGGGAGAGGGACCAGGAGAGATTCCAAGACCTCTGATGTAGCTGATGGTTGGAATGAGTTTTGATGTTCTGTTAAAACAAACATGAAAGTGCACTATAAGCAGGTACTAAATTGTAATTGTAGTTACCTCCTAGTATTTGTTTGGATATATACTACTTCCGGTTCTTAATATAATACCTCGTTTGACTTTTATTTTGGTCCCAAATATAATACCTCAATCTATTTTGTCTCTCATATTTATCTATTTTTTCCCAAGATAGTCCTTCTAATAATAGTAGTTTTAGTCAATAAACTCGATTAGTAAGAATATTTTAAGAAAGACAATATTTGTTTATTACAAATAACTAACCTGACTTATTTCTTTAATATACTCAAATTAGTCAACTAACTCTTATATTTAGGATTGGAGGTAGTACGTACTAGCAAGGATGCATCACTTGTTTAGATGTCTACAATTGGATTCTGTATTATTGTTTATTCTAGCAATGGACTCCTCTTTCATTAAAAATAATTACATATTGTGCTTTTAATTGTGAGTCTGGTATAGCAGCAATTTCTTTTCTGGCTAGAGATTCAAATGGCTGGCTTCTTGATGAATTCATGGCCAATATTCACGCATCCATGGCCAATGTTGGGAGCCATGGAATATGTACAGAGAAATCAGTGAGATATGATGTTATTTTTGAAATAGATAATCTTTCCCTTGCTAACTGTATTACTTCTCCTGATTGGAGAAGTGATATTATAATTGAGAACATCCTTGAAATAAGAGAATTTATAAGAATGTGGGTTTCTAAGAAGACAAATTTGATTGCTGACTGAGTCGCCAAAACTTCATTGAAAGGGTCATGGCTTGATGATTGGATTTGGAGACTCCACCAAGTTTGAAGAAGTTTTAAAATGAAGACATTACTTCCGCTACCTTTGGTGTTGATTAATTAGTTTAGTTTCTTCATTTGAATATTTTATTTTGAGGTTGTACTTTTGTTTCTTGATAGTTGATTTTGAGTTGCTTGCACTGTCTTGATAATAGTGAAAGTTGAGTTTTGTTGTTGTAATAAAAAGGGCAATGGAGTCCTCTTTTTTTTTTTGAGTGAAAAGAATACTATTAATGAAAGATATTTACAAGGGAGGGTGGTAAAACACCCGAGGACAGTACTTCAACTAGCAACCAGCTTTAGTAGTAGCATGCGTGTGCATTGTGTGCCTAGCCAAAGAGAGAGCTTCATTAAATAGGCTGTGAGCCTTTACAATTTCATGCGAAAACAAAAAATCATTCCTAGCTTTCCAGAGCTTCCAGCAGATAATACCGAAGAGTGAGACCCGATAGTGTTCGTTACTAACCACAGTAAGATTGTCGATTAACCAATTCTCAAAGGGCTGGTTAAGAAAGGAGGTGAGATCACTACAAGGCAAGGCCTTCTTCCAGACTTCAATAGCTAGAGGACAACCGCGCAGGATATGATCCAGATCCTCAACTCCATTATCACAGATTTCGCACGTGTCCTTATCTGTCAAATGCCGCCGCACCCTTTCACTATTAGTCAGCAATTTATTGCTTAGCGCTAGCTAGAGAAAAGTTCGGACTCTTTGTGGGCCATGCCACTTCCATGCTAATTTCCATACCCTATTCTCGTCATTCCAAACAGGGCTTTGGATCAGGTTGTAAGCAGACTTAACCGAGAACCCTCTGCTACCATTGAGGTGCCACTTCCAAACAGCCGGGGGATCAAATGGCTTGGGAGGGTTGATTTTTCTGATTTCAGATACAGTATTAGGAGGCAAGAGATGCTTAAAGGCAGTTTCTCGCCAGTGTCCTTCTCCATCCACGAACATAGAGATTGGCTTTCTAAGGTCCTCGTCCTGGATTGGGGAGTACGATAAATTGGCTAACGGCCCAAGGTCTCCAACCCAGTGGTCTGCCTAGAAACGCGTAAGATGTCCATTACCCACCTTCCACTTGATGCCCAGGTCTAACTCGTCCCACACGCAATAAAGACTTCGCCAGAGGTGGGAGATGTGCTTTGCATTAGCAGGTCGTTCAACTATTTTATCCCATATGTACTTGGCTTGTAGGACCTGCACCCATAATCGGTCCCCTTGGGTTTTCAGAGTATAAGCAAGCTTCATAATAAAAGCCTTGTTTTGGCCTTCAAGTTTTTTTAAACCACATCCTCCACGGTTTTTGGGTTGGCATAGCGTGCTCCAGTTTACCAGGTGGATGCTTTTGTGGCTTTCACTATCCCCCCAGATAAAATTTCGTATAAGTGTTTCTATCCTGTGGCATGTAGCAGCTGGCAGTTTGGTTGTTTGCATGGCAAAAAACGGAATGGTTGAGAGCACTGACTGTGCTAGGGTGATTCGTCCCGCTAGAGATAGGGATTTAGCCTTCCAACCCGATAATTTCTTGTTGATGCTATCTTCAATGTATCTGTAGGTATCCTTTGTGATCCTTTTATGGAGCAGAGGTACACCCAGGTACCTCCCAAGATTTTCAGTTTTTTGGTAACCCAGTTGGTCACATATCCTCCGTGCTTCATGATGGCTTGTGTTTCGGGAGAAATGAACTCTGGTTTTGGCAGCACTGACTATGTGTCCTGACGCAGCACAAAAGTCGGTGAGTAGCTTGTGGATCAAAGCGGCTTGTGATGTCTCTGTGGAGCTGAATAGCATTAAATCATCTGCAAAAAAGAGGTGGGAGATAGGCGGTCCTTTTTTTTCCCATTTTGATAGGTTGCCATCTGAGTTCCTCCACTTCTGAGTTAATTGCTTGGGATAGTCTCTCCATGCAAAGAACAAAAATACACGGGGACAAAGGGTCGCCTTGGCGGATTCCCCTCTGCGGATGAAAGGGGGTCGCGGCCTTACCGTTCCAGAGAACCTGCATCGTCGAGCTCTGAAGACAGTGCATGATTAGTCGGACTAATTTACCAGGTATCCGAGCATCTATCAGAGTGTCTTAGATGAAGTCCCATCTCAATCTATCAAAGGCTTTTTCCAAATCCACTTTGATAGCCATCCACCCTTTCTTCCCGGTTTTCTTTCTCATCGAGTGAATCACCTCTTGCGCAATGATGATATTATCTGTAATATTCCTACCCTGGATGAAGCTTGCTTGTTGAGGGAGTGAGAGGAGTGCCATGGCCGGCCTTAGCCTATTCGCTATGATCTTGGTTATCAACTTATACATCGTTGTACAAAGGCTAATTGGCCGGAAATCCTTCATTGTTTGGGGTCGGTCTACTTTGGGAATCAAGGAGATGAGCGTCTGATTAAGTTTAGGATCAATAGGCTCTCCTTCAAAGATTCTCTTGAGCTCAGTAAAGACCGTATTCCCAACAATCCTCCATTGTGATTGGAAGAAGAGAGCATGGAGGCCGTCGTTGCCTGGGGATTTCAGGGGGTGCATTTCAAAGAGAGCTTGCTTGGTTTCCTCCATAGTCAGTGGGGCATCTAAAGTTAACAATACCGAGTCGGGCAACAGCGGAAACTGCCCCTTGATGGTATAGGGTGTTGGAGTTCTATGTTCAATGGTATACAGGCTACGGTAGAAGTCATTTGCATGCAGACTGAGCTTCAACTGATCAGATTCCCAATTCCCCTCCTCATCTTTCAGGATCATTACTCGATTTTTCCACCTTTGAATTAAGTCTTTGGTATGGTAGTAATGAGTATTCCTATCCCCCTCACCGATCCATTTGCTGCGTGATTTCTGCATCCAGAGAATTTCTTCGCCAAGACAGGTTTCTTCGTACTCCAGTAGGATCCGGCTTTCGAGCTCCAACAGTCTCTCAGAGTGGGGTTCGCTCTAATGGAGTCCTCTTTCTTTATAGAAAAGAAACATAAAAAAGGAAATTGATATATTGTTATTATTATTATTATTTTGTAAAAAGTAAAGGCATCCATGACCGGGTCCATCTCATTGACCCCACTACCCCGCCGCTCAAATAAGCAGAAGTTGTTTCATTGGCATTTTACCGTTGAAAAGGGGCTAAATTTCAAAAAAGACCCGTCTCTCTCCAACGGCTACTACACTCTCACTGTCCACTTTCGAGAACTTCGATCTCCACGACAACCCATAAATGTTGCCACCAAATTTTCCGAAACACTATGAAACGCTTACTCCCAATTAAATTTGCCATCAGATTTCAGGATTTCACTCATTAATGGATCCTTCTACGCCTCCATATCATCGTTCCGACAAGTCTCGAAACAAGTCCTCCTCTCGCTTGGCCCGGATTGGGGATAAAGCACACCAAGAGTCCCTTCGCATTTCGCTTGACCTCGTTTCATCTCCCACCAAATCCCTATCACCTTCTGCCTTGTCTCTCAAATCTCCTCCCTCACTTCCCATCAGAGACCTCCTCCTTCTTTCACCTTCGCCTCGCAGGAGGTCTAAGACCCGCCTCACGGATCGGCTTGAAATGGCGGAAGAATACGTGGAGCCTGTTGGCTTACATCGGCGATGCAAAGGTAGAGGAGCCCAAATGGGTACGCTAGCATCCCCGAGGAATTCTCGAAGGTCAAGGAGGCGATCGGAGCTTGAGATTCGAGAAGAGAGAGATACGGGGTTGGCAGATGAGAATGCAAAGCCTAGGAAAAGAAAGAACAGCGGGCGATCTAAGAAGGAGAAACTGAGTTTGGTTCCCTATGTCCCTGCTTCAAGTTCATCTCCAAGTATGTCTAAATGATTTTTGATTGCTTCAGCCTTCAAATTAAACGTTTCCAATATGGCAGCTAATGTGCGCTTGTCTGTTTTCCCTCTTCTTTTCTGCGTGGTTTGTTGTTCAGAGGCTGATGAAGAAAATGGAGGTAATCTAGATCGTATTGGACAGCTCATAACTGATTTGATTATGTGGAAAGATACATCAAAATCAACCCTTTGGTTCGGCTTCGGCTTCCTCTGTTTCTTATCTTCTTGCTTTACTAATGGTCTGAACTTGAGGTTTGCAACTTCTCTCTGCTTTTCTTTTGTTTTGTTCAATTTCTCCACTTTCCAATAAGGCAGCGAAAATTCTAAAGCATTCTTAAACTCGTGATTGCAGCGTATTCTCCGTCGTGTCACATCTAGCAATTCTATATCTGGGTGTTTCTTTCATCTCAAACTCTATCTGTCAAAGGTAAAACCTTCCAACATGTATATTTATTCCAGCATAGTCCACTATCCTTGTTTTGGATGTGTTCTAGATCTTCAAAATTTGTATTTCAGGAACCAGATAAAAAAGAAGAGTGAAGAGAAGCTGAAAGAAGATGACATTTTACGTCTCGCAAAATTGATTCTTCCCGCTTTAAATCTTGCAATTTCAAAGATACGAGAGCTTTTCTCAGGGGAACCATCCATGACCCTGAAGGTAATCCCCCACGACCAATCTTTCAGTTTCAAAGATCATTTCTAAAATTGCTCAATACGTTGAAAGAGCTAGTCTTTAATCGATGCAGGTAGTTCCTTTCCTTCTTCTAGGAGCAGAGTATGGCCACCTTATTACACTTTGGAGGTTGTGTGCCATCGGTGAGTACCTAATGGACTCCATAGCCTGTTTGTAGAGAAAAATGAAACAACATAATCATCCTTGCAATCACATAGGAGTTCTGTCGATAAATATCTTAGCTTTTCTGCAATATGGCATCACAGGATTTTTTGTCAGCTTCAGTGTCCCAAAGCTTTATTCTTGCTACTCTGCTCAGATGAGCCACAGAGGTATAATCCTCCCGCTTCGTGGAAACATATAGGTCTTTCCCACTTTTCAATACTTGAAAAATATTTTCTTTTAAAAAATATGTGATGCAGCTGAATGCTTCAAATTGCGGTTGATGGACACGTGGAATGGTTGCACTCACAAGAAGTTAGTGGTAGTATCGGTTGTCACGGTCTTCTGGAATCTATCATGTATAAAGACCCGAATCCTCACAGGTAATTCCAAGCCAGAGATTTGACTGTAATTCATTGCAGCAAAGATAGTAACTGGTCAGCTGCACTTCTTCAAATAACTTTGAATCCCACCTGCAAAAGGTTGAATGGCTTGTTAAGCATCTATCTTAAAAATGTACGAAAACCAACCAATTTGCTGAAATTAAAGTCAATATTTACCTGGGCTAAAAATGTTGGCTCCTTATTCAACTTTGGTTGACTCACGATATAATACTCCTTCCTTTTCAGCATTTATAGGGCTCGTAACATTTAGATATTTTCGGCAACATGCAATGCAAGAAGTAGAAGATGGGGAAGAAGTGGGAGAGAAGGAACAGCAGCAAGCGCTTGCGGCGGCAGAAACAGAGGAAAAGGAACAGCAGCAAGCGCTGGTGGTGGTAGAAATAGAGGAAAAGGAAAAGGAGCAGCAAGAGTTGGTTGTGGCAGAAACTGAGGAAAAGGAAAAGAAACAGCAGCAATAAGTCTTTTGCTGCCAATATTAGCACTTAGCCATATGTTAACACTTAACACATCAATAAGTATATTACTGATGATATATATGGAACCTTTCTTAGTAATTTGGTGAAGAGGTTGAATGTGCTTTGGCCTATGTTCAATATTTTTCCGCCATATATGATCAAGAAGTATAATTTAGTAATATGATCATAGATGTGCACAAATATTTCAACTATGCACGGAAAAAATCTTAATATATCATCGTTTTGAACTGGCTTAACTGATTCACAGTCGAGAAACATGAATGGGCATTACCCACTGAGTACAGTAGTTGCAACATTTAAGAATAAGAAGAGTTACATGCACCTAATTTTGACAGGGATAGCTAAAATAACTGTCAGGAGCCCTCTTAACTATCGTTGATTACGATTTAATACTCAGATGCAACATTATAGAACTTGGTCCCCTCCTCCTTTCTTCAAGTATCCGTTCTTCTCCTCCTTTCTCCAAGTATCCGTTTGGGTGGTCATTTGGTTGAGAAGGGAGGAAATTATTTTAAATGAACCATGCTGAATGCTGGAATTTTCTGAATTCCAATCTGCATCATTTCTTTCCTCATATCAGCAGCATGATCCCATCTTTCTTTATCTGCGTTGATGCTTGATAATAACACATATTGGCCGCAATGTTGTGTCCGAGACTCAAGCAGCTTTCTTCCCATCTCTTCTCCAAGGCCTATAGCTCCATGAATTCTACAAGCACTCAGAAGAGCAAGCAAAACAGACGTATCCGGCTGAAAAGGCATATTATTTATGATGTCAGCTGCTTCCTCCAAATGCCCTGCTCTTCCCAAAAGATCAACCACGCACCCATAGTGCTCCATTGATGGTACTACATCATAGTAATTTGACATTGATCTAAACAAGTCCAGTCCTTCCTTAACAAGTCTTCCACGAGAACAGGCAGTAAGAACTGCTACAAAGGTGATACTGTTGGGTCGCAGCCCTTCGGCCTCCATATATTCAAACATATTCAGAGCCTCCTCCTCTCTACCATTTGAAGCTAGTGAAGAAATCATTGCATTCCAAGTGCAGACCTCTCTGGAAACCATACAGTTAAAGACATTCACAGCATAATTAAGGCAACCCATCTTCCCATAAACATCCACCAGTGAAGTTCCCACAAAAACTCCCAAGAAGATCTCATTCATTACAATGTATCCATGCAGCTGCCTAGCACAATCGAGTGCTGCCTTGCCATCGAGATTAGCACAGGACGAAAGGACACTCACATACGTAGCCTCGTTTGGCATAACCAAGCGATCCAAGACATCCCTATGAGCCATCATCTTCCCAAAAAGCTGAATGGCCCTGCCAAACTTGGCGCTCCTTGCAAACCCATTTATCATAGTTGTCCAAGAAACAACATCCCGCTTACACATGCGTTCGAAGAGTGACATGGCAGACTCCATATCCCCATGTGTACAGAAAGCGTGAAGCATTGCATTACACGCCACGATGCAGACATGAGGAATTTCATCGAACACCTTACAAGCATAAGCTAGATTGTTACTACGAGCATAGAGAGCAATAAAAGTGGTCTGTACAAACTGGTCACTTAGAACGCCCCGCTTGATCACTTGCGTATGAAGAGCTCTTCCCAAAGAAGGAGAGGGAGAAGCAGCTTTGATGAGGGGAGGAAATGTATGGTCGTTGGGCGGGACTTGGCCAGCGAGCATGTGGGTGAAGAGAAGAAGGGCCTTGTGAGAGATTCCAGAAATGTGATGAGCTCTGATCAAGGCGTTGTATAACAGAGTGCTCGTCCATCTTAGATGTGACGGTGTATTAGAGTAATGGAGGAGGTGGCCATTGATGATTACCTGGGAATGGATTTGGGCGACCAATCTGGTGTGCTTGATGAATCGTTGCAGAAGGGTAAGGAAAAACTCAGGTGAGCGAGTCATACAAGCCGCTCTGCATTCCTCAAGCTCTGGGAAGCATCATTCTCTTCAACCAAAAGATAAACACGGCATCCAATCACCGACTAATTTTATTTTTTATTTTTGGTGGGAGAATGGCTGAATTTTATCAACTACGTACACTGCAGTCAGTTGGCTGAACGGAGAGAATTCCCATCCCGCCTCGAGAACGCGTCTTCCCTTGTTGATAGTGATTAAGATTAATTTTGTGAATTGCCTTGTTAGTTATTAGAGTTGCATAAAAAGATTCATTTGGAAACGCTCAAACAAAATATGTTGCAGAACAAAATTAGGAGACATAGGGCTTGTCTAAAATTAGCTTATAAGTACTTTTTTAATAGTAATTCAAGTATATGAAAAGAGTTTTTTTTTTTCAGAAATGTGTTTATAAATGATTTCTAATATTCTGCCAAACGAGTCCCTAGAAAAGAAGATCAGAGGAGGAGAATAATAAAAAAAACAAAAGAATAATTTCATTAATAATTTGTATCAGGTAATTGGAGTCGACCAAGAATATGAATAATATACATATCAATGGGAATGCTACACTCCCAAACTACATAAGACAAATGTCATTGCTTATTTCCATGTCACCTAACAACAAACACAGTCTCTCTCCCGATCTCTACCCGGCCGCATCAAATGTCATGTCCGTGAAAATCTAAGAGACTATAAAACATGTAAAACGTTTTTTAAAATTTAATTTGAACCGTTTAGATAATTATGTTTTACTCGTGGTTACAAAGAAACCATACAACGGTATGAATGAAAAGAATATATATATATAGTTAAAGTTTAATATTACTTTCCGTGCTAATTATAAAATCTTATTTGTAAACTTCAAAAGAAATCTTATAACTAGAAAACATGTTAAGAAAAATAATGAGATTTGGAAAGAGAGGATGATGTCAATGGTGGATGGGCTGGTCGTCGCCGGAGCGGCATCCTTGAGAGGGATTACAGCCGCGGGTGTAAGGATTAACAGGTTGAGGCTTGCATCCTGCTGGGTTTCTGGGGCTGCAACCAATTGCTGTGTTTCGACGCATTGCGCCGTAGCCTATGTATTCTTCCTCCCCCTCCTCTGCTCCTGCCATTATTATTATTCCCATCACCATCACCACCACCACCATCGTCGTCGTCATCATTTTCCCTCCTCTCCCTTCCATTCTTCTTTCTTTCTTCTGATCTGTTCTACAATTCTGCTGCGTCCGGCTATATCCTCCCTTTATATAATCTCTCTTTTTTTCTTTCTTTCTTTATTTTGGTCTATAATAAGTCTTATCCCTGATGGTGCCAACTCCTCTCTGAACCGTAACTCCCTCCTGATCGCTACCTATACATATTACTCGTTCGTATATGCATGGGATTCATAGGTCACCCTTTTTTCCCTCCCTACTTTAATTATTTATTTATCAGTACTCACCACGTCTAGTTAAGTATAAGGTCGTGATGAGTGACAAAATAATAATGGCAAAACTGATCAAAACTCTGTGGAAACTCCATACTTCAAAATGTTATATTGGCAAGAATAATGACTCAACATATTAAAAATAAGTATCGGTATTTTATAGGATTTTACTATACACATAATAATAGACAATAAATTTCACCTCATTAATTTGTTGGGAAAAAAAATTACAATCTTCATGAATAGGTGGAGGAGCTCTTTGCCATTGGCGCATTGGCTTCAACCCCAGCTGTGCTGCTTCCTGTGGCCAACAAAAGGCATTTTTTCATGATTAGGCAGGTGTTCGTCAAAAATTTAAAAACAAACAAAGAAATTAAAGGCTTTGGAAGTTTAATGTGTGTGAAGATTTTGTATTAATTACCTTCTGTCTTTAATTACACGCCTTAATTATTCCATTAATATTGTCTTATTTCTACTGTTGGCCCAACGAATACTAATATTGTCTCATTCATATAATTAGAACAAATACTGCATCTTGTTTTTAATATAATAGCTAGTTTGATATTTAATTTGATCTTAAATATAGGATTTAGGATCCACTTTGCCTCTTATGTTTATTTATTTATTTTTTAAAACAATCCTTGTAAGTTGTAATAATTACACATGTTAAATGTTTCATCAAATACTAATTCTAGCTAATACACATGATTAATGAAGGTGTTTTAGAAAAGACATTATGCATATTGATTACAAATAACTAAATTAACAAACTTTCTTAATATATTCAAATTAGTTAACTAGTTTTTATATTAATTATAGGTGTAGTATTATCTGTGAACTTTGTGATCATTACATGTATTAGTTCGCCTAGAATATAACGATTTATACTACTGTAAGACAGACCCCTTTCCCTTGTCAACAGAGGCCATGTGTTTAGAAAATATCTGTGAGATGCAAATTAAGGGGGTGTTTGGATAACCTCAAACCATGGTTTGAAGAATAGCTTCTGGAAAATAGATTTTGGGAAGAATAGATTTTGAAAGAATAGATTTTCTGAAAAAGTGATTATGATAAAGTGAGAGTGTTTAGATAGTTGTTGTCAGAAGTGCTTTTTTATAGTTGAAATTACTAAAAAGGATATAGATTTAAATGATAATTACATAAACATATATTTCATAATATATATTATTTGAAGTAATAAATTTGTTAATAATATATATTTTGGCAACATAGTAAATAAGACATAAATAATATAAATAATAAATAATAAATAATTAATCTGTATATATATAAAATAATTACATATGTTTTTAGAAAAATAATTATTTTGCCAATAAAAAATATTATTATTTATTAAAGATTTTAAACATAAAATCCTTTTGCACAAAATTATTATTTATTAGGCTGCCAACCACAGCCCCCGCGAAAGTCACTCTCCAATAAAAAAATATTATTATTTATTACTCCTTAGTCTTTAGAAGCTGCCCGCGTGATGATTTAGCGAAACCAAGGTTTCCAAGTTCAAAACCAAGGTTTTGCTGGGAACTATGGTTTTAAAAAAAAAAGAGGTGTTTGGCAAATTTTTTCCCAAACCATGATTTGGGAAACCAAACCATGGTTTAGAAGAAAAGCCAAACACCCCTTAAATGGCATACGAAAGCTCGAGACTTGAACACGATATGAAACAGAAATTTTTCTATTGCCAGTAGAACTTCAAAGGCTTGATTTTGTGAGTTTTCAATTCGAGCCGCGTCATTTTCTAATTTCCTCGAGCAAGTCAATCCTGCCTAAATGAATACTTTCTACAATATCAAAATTAGTTTTGATTCTAAATACAAAATATCAATTCATTTTATTTCTGAAAGTTATAATTTTTTTTTTGTATAAATTCTTCCTGATAACTGTACTTATTAAAAGTGTTTTTCAGTAGTTTCCCAAGCAAATAATTAAAAACAATATTTTAAAAAAATTAATGCATATTTTTCTATAAATAACTGATTCAATTAGATTTATTAATTTGTATAAATTAATTATCTAACTCACACGTTTAGGAACAAAGAAAATAACACAAATTGGCTGCGCAGTGTTGTGTCCATGATTCAGTCGCATTCATTTTGCCATAGGAATGAGTAAAACACGAATGCGTTGGTTATGTCATTAAAATATTGTGCAGGTTAATTTGTTAATAAAAGGTGGTAAATTAAATAAAATTGCAGAACAAAGTGAAGAGAGTAGGAGAACAATAAACATAAATAAAAAAAGGAATAAATTGAATTAATGATTGGCCGTAACATAGAGCTTTACAGTTGACCACATTATTAAGGGGAAAATGGCTTGCTGTTTAGGGAGCAAGGGGGATAGATGCGAGAAGGCGACGGAGAAAAGCGGGGGAAATATTATTAGCGGGCGTGGGGCGGGGGTTGATCACCGCTGGAACGGCAGCCTTGAGCGGGATCACAGCCTCGGGTGTAAGGATTGGCGATAGGTTTCTGGCATTGAGACTGGGATCGGGGACCGCATCCGACCCCTCTGTCCCGACCCAATGCCCCGTTCCCGATCTCCTTTCCCTCTGCCCCGCCCGTCACCATTCCCATTATCAGCATCCCGCATATCAGCACTCCCATTATTCCCCTCCACTCTCCCATCTTCCCTTCTTCTCCAATCTCTCTGTATGTCTTTTTTTTTTTTATTTTAAACCAGCTATCTGTATGTCTATTTACCTTCTACCAATCTCCCCCCCCACACATATATATATGTATGTATGTCAACTTTTTAGTAAATCCTCCCATAAAATCTCTCACTCCATATATATCCTTGTCTATAATAAGCCCTGTATATGCGCATGCATGCATGTTCGTATATTTGCCACAAAAAGGTTACGTTGTGTGTTGTGTCGTGACCTTCCCCTTCCTCCGGTATCTGACCCTCCGTCTTCGCTCCTGAATAGAGATATTACCCATTATATATATGTGTGTATATGGCATGGGATTCATATATGCATGCATACCTCTATCCATCTAACCATTTGATGGATTCAGAGAAACACTAACTCCTCCGCCTCCAGAGCACTTTCATTAAACTAATTTGAAGAGATTAAAAAGACTAAATAAATTATTTTAAAATACTTATATTTATCTTTTTTCTTCTAGATTAATTTATCAGTCTCATGAACTGATATACAATCAAATGATATTTCTATATACACGTATGTATGGCATGGGATTCATATATGCATGCATACCTCTATACATCTGACCATCTAACCATTTGATGCATGTAGAGATATACTACCTCCTGTCTTTTTATTTGACTAATTTGAAGAAATTAAAAAAATTTAATAAATTACTTTAAAATATTTTTATTTATTATTTATTTCTAAATTAATGTGCCTGTCTTATGAACTGATATACAATCAAATGATGCATATAAGTATTTTAGAGAGAGATCATGTAACATATGATATAATCAAGCAATTTATTTAGCTTTAATTTTTTAATATATTTAAATTAGTTAACTAAACTAAGTTTTATATCAAGTACAGGAGGTGGTAATATTTTACAAGACTGTACGGTCCCGTTTGGTACAAAGCGTTGAAAATTATGGGTAGATATTGGTATTAAGATTAAGAAAATCCATTAAAAAAGTATTTAGTACGAGATATTTCTTATTATATGGGATTGGACAAACTCATGTATATGGGATTGGATAATACCACGGGAGGAGAGGGTATTCTCTAATCCTACATCTGTAAGTTTGTCTAATATCATATAATAAATAATTATTTATGCTAAATATCTTTTTGATGATTTGTTTCAATTACAATCCTAGTTTCTATTTCTAGTTTTAAATGCCTACATATGGTAATCATATCTCATATTATCTCCTATACAGACATATATGACACTTGGCGACACGCGCGGAGTGGAGATGGATGAGTCCAAGGCGCGAGTGAAGATTCGCAGACGGTAAATTTGCCTTCAATCCCTCGAACGTCATGCAAAGAAGCCGAGAGACTTCCAACAAGCGTTGTATTTATTAATTGAACGTGTGCTAACTTTAATAGCCTGAGTACGTAGTAATTATATGTCTTTTCAAATATAGTAAATAATTTCAAATAATAAAATATTAAAACTCAAATTTCCAATTCAGATATTAAAATCAAATTCACATACTCTTTACTAAATATGTACTTTCTCTCCATTTTTTTTAATAAGCTTCAATCTTTTAAATGATAAAATATTAAAACTCAAATTTCTAATTCAGATAGTAAAATCAAATTCACATACTCTTTACTAAATATATACTCTCTCTCCATTTTTTTCATAAGCTTCAATCTTTTAAATAAATTGGTTTTTTTATAAGTTATCCTTTGAAGATGTATAAACGCTTAATTTTTTTTTTTCATTTTCATCTCTAATTAATTATATGTCTTTTTTTTAGTCTCTTTTCTACTCATTCTCTTTTATTCTTTTTTTACTATTCTCTCCATAAATGTGCTTGAAAAAATAAATTATTTTTATATATTTATTATTTTAACTCATTTTAATCAAGTTTTAAATTGGAAAAATCATAAGAAAAGATATTGAAAACAGAAAAATTATAAACAGAAACTCATTATAATATTAGTACTGATTTTGATAATAATTTTTATAAACAGATTCCTATATGGAATTTTTAATTTTTAGAGTTTTTTTTAACGATTTCTCCTTTTAAATTTGTGTAATTTAATTACTTAAAGCTTATAAACATTGGCTGCATTCATCATTTACAGGGCATCCACAAATCAGTATGGTTTCGTACTTTATGGACATCGCAATTCAATTCTCATCGAAAGGGGCGGTTCTCGCGTAGGCAGGGCGACAAGTTTTGTCATTCAAACTCAAAAACTAATAAACAAACGAAATCGTTTTATAAATTTCAATTAATAAAAGAAGACCATAAAAATTAAATTATTGTAACATCAATTCATAGATGGAAAAATATCAATAATATTATCATGAATAAATTGTTAAATAAAAAATTCATCAAAACTGAACCACATTACTCCATTGGTTATTTCGATTTTTGAAGATGTAAATGTTCCGTCTGATTTAGAAATTCTCGAGGTGGAAACCGAGTGACTGGACGGCCGGAACTATTAGCCCAACTCTAAATATTAATTGCCGGTACGGCAGTCTTCAGAGGGATTACAGCCTCGGTTATAAGGATTGGCCTTGGGCTGCTGGCATTGAGATCGGGAAAGGGGTCCGCATCCGAGGGACCGGTCCCTACCCAGTGCCCCGTACCCGATTTCAGCTCCTTCTGCCCCACTCATCGCCATTCCCATGATCAGCATCCCACATATGAACACTCCCATTATTTCCCTCCACTTTTCCATCTTCCTTCCTTTCTTGGCTTCTCCTTTTCTTCTGTTCTCTTCTCTGTCTATCTTCTACCAATCCCTCTCTATATATATGTGTGTGTGTGTGGGTGTGCCAACCTTTTAGCCAATCGTCTTTTAAAAAATTTCACTTCGTAGTTCGTGTCCCCATTCTTTTTTTATGATTGTCTATAATAAGCTATACGCATATATGCATCTTCAAATGTTTACCACCAGAAGTTGCACTGTGTCGTGACCTTCGCTCTCTTCCTGCAGTATCTGACCCAGTCCTCCCTCCTAAACATAGATATTACCCGTTATGCGTCCATGCTGCCACTTTGATGTGGCTGGATTTTATTTTCGCCTTTCGTTGTACGCGTTACTCCCAAGGTTTTAATTGTCTTTTGCAGCTAGAATGGTACACACGGTTATTTTTCAATTCATTATTATTATTATTATTATTATTTTTTAAATCTCAAACCTCCTCAACAAGTTTAGGCATACTTATTGGCTACTGTGAAATTGGAAGAATAGAAGTATATTTGAGGATGAGTTTAGGTGGCCAGAAAACCCAAAAATGATAACTGATCATTATGTAAACGAAACTTTATTTACTTTAGGGAAATATGGTGGTGTGGGGGGAGGAAACAGGAGAGGAACATCATATGGGAAATGCCTATGGAGGGATGGATGAATCTTAATTAATACTGATGGAGCAGCTAAGGGGAACAATAATCTTGCAGGATGTGGTAAACTGATCCGTGATTGTAATGGAAGATGGTATAAAGGCTTTGCTAAGAAGTTAAGTTTGTGCTCCGCTGTGAGGGCTAAAATTTGGAGAGTCATCATAGGTTTAAATACTGTAAAAGATTCTGGTATTAAATTTTTTATTGTTAAATGTAGTTCCATTCCTGTTGTTAATATTTTGCCAACCCTAGCTTTGAGACGAGTGAGGCTGTTAATGTTTTTGAGGAATCTCCTCAGTAAGTGAGAAATTTGTTGTATAGGGATATTGTAGGGGCTGCTTGTCCAAAAATGGCAACAAAGTAATGAGATGGGCTTAGACCCAGTTTTATTCACCAAAAAAAAAATCTCAAACCTACAATAACAATGAAACTGGCCACGATTTTGCCACCGGAAAATAACGCTTGAAATTTTGCCCCTGCAGCATTTTCTTGGTTTTTTAAATGGATCTATTTTGTCTGTCAAAATTCTTATTTGGAGACATTTTTTTTCTCCCCAAATTCAACTCATTTACATTTTTTCCTCACATCCTCTCCCATTTCCTTGTACCAAAAATACCCCAGAGTCAAGTCCCTGGTCCCAATCTACTAAAAAGAAATTATACCATTGTTTGAAAAATAAAATTTTAAATTTTCAGATTCTTCCTTCTTTCGAGCTAAAGTGAACAGCTTAGCCACCGCTAATAATAAAGCGCGCTTTGTTCTCTAGCCGCGCTTCAACTAGAAACACTCACTCCGATTCGACGTTTTCTTTTCTAGCAGAAATGGACGCCATCGGCAGTGGACATTACGGGCTCTGGAACTGGAATCCTTTGCCTGGGAAGCCCAATTCACGTCGTCCTCGGCGGCAACGACGCTTCGATTCCAAATCTGAATCCTATGATTCGGCCGACTCCGCCTGCAGCTCCGGTTTTCGTTTCCCCTTCAAGCAGGCCGTGGCCGCTGGCTCTCTCGCCCTCACCGGCGATACGATTGCTCAGCTGACGCAGCGTTGGAGGAAAGCAGAGGCTACGAAGAAACGCTCTGCTCTGGATTCTGGTGGGGCCAGTCAGGTCAGTGGAGATTTATTTCAATCTTTGGTCTTATTGCAATGAAGATTTTATCTGTCCACTTCCAATTTATTGTTTAGTCATAACAAGACTGTGGGAACGGATGGCTCAGGGACGCTATGGCTGATTGGAATACAGCTAGGTCTGATAATTTTTAAGACAAGTTGCCGTATAAGTTGTTAAGTTTCGGCTTTACATGAAACTAACCTGACAATGTTTCTTGCTTCTCTGCCTCTTTGGGTAGGACTTTAGTGGTGCTTTATTTCAGATGAAGTAAGAAAAAGGAGTAATATTCCTATTGTTGACTTTTGAACTGCTTTCTGTGGATTGAGATAAGAAGGAACATATAAATCCACACTACTCTTTATTTAATTGAGATGAAATTATGGACCTGCAGGGAATTGTTTTTGCCTTGATAATATCGAACTGCTTAAACGATGATGACATCAATATACGTGAGGATTGTCTAGAAACATTTTGCTTATGTTATGTAATATAGTCATCTAAACTCATATTGCCCTTTCCTGGACCTGACATTGACTCTGAACACTAGCCTGTCCTTGGATGAGGAATTTGGTCTGACAGATGGTTGAGAAACTTGATGCTACAAGGTCTGACACTTGACGTTATCACTTCAAGTTATCGTTCTACTTTAGATTAGTTTTAAGGCACTTCAACCTATTGTTCCTGTATAGATTACCAAAATGTCTGGACACACTTAGTCACCGTACAATCAATGCATCGTAGGATTTTATGTAAACTGCAAGCGTAACGGTTAAATCTTGTCAAAAGCCCCGTTTAATGGATCTAGACATTTTGCGGTCAAAAGAGGGCTCCTAAGAATTGCTTTGCTGTTGTAAGTAATGTTATTATTGATCAAAAGCTTTTTGTTAGGATGAACTGTGGAACCACCTCTTGGACCATGATTGGCTACGTGCCTTGCGAATGACTTCCTATGGTTTCCTTTTATATGGCCCTGGATCTTATGCTTGGTACAAGTATCTTGACCACATTTTGCCCATAGCAACAGTGAAGAATATAATGGTGAAGGTATGTTTAATTTACAGCTTTATGCTTTTGACAGCCACGAAATGTTTAGTTTACATCTTTATCCTGTTTTCCTCTCTTGGCAGGTTTTACTAAACCAGATTGTTTTGGGACCTTGTGTCATTGCTGTCGTTTTTGCTTGGAACAATTTATGGCTGGGAAAACTCTCAGAGCTTCCAGAAAAATACAGAAAAGATGCCCTTCGCACACTGCTTTTTGGTAGAAACTGCTATCATTATCATGATTTGGTGATGCATATTACTTATGTGTTAATGTCTTTTGATTTGATTTTTCTATGTAGGATTTAGATTCTGGATCCCTGTCAGTGCATTGAATTTCTGGTGCGTATATACTTGTTCTCTTTTAGAATCTTTTATTGTTTCATAACCCTTTTATTATCTCTTAACCATTCAAGGTAAATGATGGGATATTTTCTGATATTATAAAATGGTGTAGAGAGGGACTGCATCTATGGATAGACTTAAAAACTTAATCAAGATTTTGGAGATTTTAAATATTCTAAAACCATTGCTCCAGGTCTAACTTTTTAAAGATTTTGTTCCCGCCAATTCATCAAGAGATCGTGGGCTTAAAGATTGTTGCTTGGATTAGGGGCAATTGCATGTCATCGTAATAAATCAATTCATGTTGAATTTGTGACTTAGTTAGTTATATTGTTACATATATAATCATGACCTCAGATTTGTTTGGTGATTTTAAAATTTGTTTTCTAATTAAAAGTTTTGCACTCTTAATCAGTGTTTTAGTAATTATTGAAGTTCAAAATTGTGCCATGGCTATTCATTTAGATGCCAGTTGGATATGCTGTATAATAACATCTTACTTGTGAGTATGACATGAGTTAAGTTCAGCTTGTTAAAGGGCATAAGAGTTCAACCGGTAATCCAACGTCAAGAAACTTCTGTTTTTTGCTTATTAACTGCAAAAGTTTAAAACAATTTGTATGCTGTGAAACTCTCGGCACATTTTATTGAATGAAAATGAAAGATGGTATTCTAGTCTTGAGATTGCTTGAGTAGGATTTTGTTCTATGGGTACCCCCGAGTATTGATTATGTTGGCCAAATGTAATGGGGAATTTACTGATATCACATGCCTGTTTTCGCTATTTTCTCGAGTACTATCATGTCACTGTTACATAGTGATCATAATCTGGTTAATATATTAAGCGAGCATTCATTGGCAATGTGCATGGCATCTGAGCAGGGTGGTGCCACTTCAAGCTCGAGTGGCTTTCATGTCTACGGGCTCAGTATTCTGGAATTTCTTCTTGTCATCAACAATGAGCAAGTAAAATGCGTGGAGGAAATTTTCCAGCAACTTGGGTTGTTTGAAGATTTCAGCATGAGGTATTAAATTATATGAATACATTGTCTTCTTATTAACCAGGGTAGTTATAACATCAAATCTTGTTATGTGTGTAGATTAGCTCATGGTCTTGCGGACTTGGGAAAGGATGGTTGTGTGGAACAGGCAATGATTTCAATATAACATTCTCAGGGTTCCGTTCATTCATTTCAGTTGAACGTAGGTTGCTGTGAAAGCCCCGCTGAATTTTTGTTCTTGCCGGTTTTTAAATGAATATACAGACTACAGAGACGACGATAGCTCATTTCTTAATTGTATCGCAGAATTCTACTACATTAAATAAATCCTTTTTATCCGGCATTAACTTGGAACCACATGCATCCAAAGCACCTTTTACTAAGATCAATGTAATTGTATGTAAACCTAGAGCAATAGCATGATGAACCTAGAAGTCTCCAGGCCCTATTGTTAAAAAATAGGCGAGAGGCCTCGGTCAAGTTAAACAATATTAGTGAACGAATACTTTTATTTTTTTGGGCCTTTTGGAATAGAACAAATCTTGTTTCTAGTAACTCTGTTTTCTGTTTTTGGTACCAAAATTTTGTAACTCGAAACAGTCGGACGTTCATGCCACAAGATCAAATAATATGCGTGCTGCGATTGATTTTTGGGAATAAATAATCAGATTTTAGTCTTTGTATTTCGTATTTTTATTATTAAGATGTAAACTCCTAAAATTGTCAAAATACTATTCAATTTAGACTCTGGAACTGGCGAAAAATGACTTCGGAAAAATCGATTATTCGTTTATTATCATTGTTTCATTTCGTTATTTTTTGAAAATTTATAAATTTTTTCAGCGATTAAAAAGAAAAGAGAAGAAATCCATGATTCCATCGAGAAACGGTGAGATATACCCCTTGTTTAATTGAAAATCTTTGCCATGGAAAATGCACTTTGTTTTTACCAGCATGAAAATGTACTTGTTTAATTGCACAGCATCCATATTGATATATGAAAATTAAAACAAATTAACACGGAACCAAATACTAATGATGAATCCATATGCTAATTATGAACCTGCCCCCTTGCAAGAAGAATAAGAATTATTGAGTTTTTATCCTCACGTCCATATTTCTATTTTTCTCTCTTGAAAAACACCAAATTTATAAAAAAAAATTTAACGCCACACTAGCACTGCAAAAATGTCAAGCATCTCTCTCTCTCTAACAAAAAAATTAATATGGAAATCCTAATCAGACCTGTGAAAAACACTTTTTGGCCAAATCGTTCGTCCTAGTGGTTTTTGGGCAGCATCTTGGGCCTCAGGCGCCTTAGACCTACATTGTAATGGGTGAGTAGAAAAGCCCATTAATTTCCGCTCAGGAAATGAATCAAAATTCCCAAATCCGAAGAAACGGAGCCACTAGGGTTAGGGTTTCACTTGGACGCCTTTGATCGATCAATCGATTTCATCCTCAATCTCTGGAATCCTGTTGCTTGAAGCCATGGCAACGCCTGCGACGACGAAGAGAAAGCCAGTATTTATCAAGGTGGATCAGCTAAAACCCGGTACAAATGGCCACACGTTGACCGTGAAGGTGATCAGCTCTAATCCAGTGAAGACTGTCAACAACAAGGGCAGTCGATCGTCAATGGTCCTTGGGCGGCCTGCTCGTCCCACACTCATCGCTGAGTGTCTTGTAGGTGATGAGACTGGCACCATCATTTTCACAGCTCGCAACGAACAGGGTATGTTAACATGTTAAAGTTTAATTATCATTGCATTATTCACAAGAAGTTCGGTTCGATTCAAATGAAGGGTCACAGTAGGATTTAGGAGTCTTTTTATTGCCTGGATTATGAGCACTCGCTAAAACCTACTATATATCCCCAGAGAAATGCTGAAGACAGGCTAATCATAATTTTACTCAAACCAATAAAATCACCAATGCGGTGTCATTTCATTCTTTTCACGACTCATTTTTTCCGCGTTTTACACTGTTCTATCAAGTTATTGTAGTAGCGTGAAGCATGCCAGTGTTGGGAATTGGGACTTGTGCTGCAATTAGCGTTTTGCCTAGTAAGATGGGTGGAACATGGGGCTCGTGCATTGGTAAAGATATGATTTTCGGGGAATCTTTCTATGATCTCTGGAATTAATGGTTTCATTGATGGCTCGTACTTCTTCATGTAGTCTTTGCTAAATGCCATCTTCTCTACTTGTGTTGAAAAACACAGGAGTATATGTTTAGTCCACATGTTGTAGATGGATCATTAACCGGTGACTTTTGTACAGTGGATATGATGAAGCCAGGCGCCACCTTGATTTTGCGAAACGCAAAGATTGACATGTTCAAGGGCTCGATGAGGCTTGCAGTTGATAAATGGGGACGTGTTGAAGTAACCGAGCCAGCAAAATTTGAGGTCAAAGAGGATAACAATCTTTCTTTAGTGGAATATGAACTAGTTAATGTTGGTGAGGAGTAATTTTAGCGTCAGGAAGCGAATGCTTTGTATTAAGGGAGAGTTTCTATCTTTTTCACGTGGCCATTGAACTATTAACTGCAGCACAGTATTCATTTGGCACAGCCATGACTGTTCAGCCTTGAAATTTCTGTAGTAAAAGTAAAATTTATCTTTCAGTGAGCAAATACAGTTGCCTAACATGCTGAAGCAAATATTTTTATAGAAGACCTGTTACCAGGCAAAATAAAAGAAAATTTTCAACTCAGCAGATTCATGGATGCTTCAATTTGATGTCACGTTCCATGCTGTATGAGAGATTGATGAAAGATCTGTTCCCATTTTCACTTTGATTATACAACTGTTAACCCATGGTGGAGTTCAATAATGGCGGGGACGTTGTTGCAACATCGGGTTGCATCCTCGCTCGTCTTTTTGAAAAAATAAAGCAAAAAGAATTCTTTAACAGTTGACATCAGAGTTCTCAGAGTGGCTAATTCAGTTTAACTTGCTTGATGAAATGTGGAAGCAAGAAGAGAATAAAAAAAGAAGGATGGCAGATGTAAGAAAATAAATGTTGTAAGAAAACCAGCATCAAGAAGCTTGGTTAATCCCGAAGTCCTCTGGTGCCAATGTTGCGTTTAGGGAAGTCACAGATCTAGATAAACAAATACCCGAATCAGATTTTGAAAGAATTGAAGAAAGGCAACCGAATTTAACGTGTTCAACCACAAGTCTATATAGCCAACTCATTGAATCGAAATCGTTGATGCAAAGAAAACAAGTCGATCCTACTTAAGCCCTCATCATACTTTCATCATCTCTTCGTAATACAGAATTCTCATTTTCACCACATACTTCGTAATCGAAATCTTTAAGCGATTCAACGAGAATTCAGGATAAATTCAAAGCAATTTAATAAATATTCAATACTTGCGACACATTTTCCCCTTATTCAGTTATCTGCCTGAGTTCCAAATTTTGAGCACTATGGGCGACATGGATATAGGTAACAACCTTAATGCGTCTGAAACAGAGAAAAGTACAGCTGGTCTAATCATCAAGTATCATAGTCCAATTTACCATCTTCCCCCTCCAACGGCTCAGTCAAAACTCCTAGTTTTCAGCAGTGACGGTTTCACAACGCTGATTTGTACATAATAGATTGCTCGAATCTTCTGAACACTTATCACATCATCATTGCAATCTGATTAAACAAAATTCATCAGTATAACCCTTCGTTATCTATTGCCCCTTAGCATGCAAGAAAATCAAGGAAACGGCATGGATTTGAATCATAGTAGTTATTATGAAAGGTTTCAAGCAGCAGCACAATCACGCTGCACAGAAATGTACAATAATGAAGTCAGCAGCTCATCAGTTAAAAAGTGCCCTTTTTATTTTTCATAATTCCTGGAATTTGTCTTCTACAAGTGTAAAGAAGTTTGACCAGTATAACTGAAACATAGAGACATCACTATATTCCACCACGCAATGCAAGCAAGGCGTATAGTGCATCCGTTCAAAATGTCAAATCAATAAAAATTTGGAGAGCGCACAAATTGCTCTAAATAATTTTAAGCCAGCGGTTATAGGAATCTAGTAATTCTTCCTAATGATCTAGAAAAATTTGTTTAAACCCAACACAGCAAGAAGTCATATCATCCATTTTTGCTTCTTGATCTTCATCTAGTCTTCTGTAGGCCTACAAACAAGAGGAGCAGCGTGTATGGCTTCACTAAACGGTTTAGATGCAGGAGTGGGGAATACTAAAGACATAATCCATCAAATTGATGCAGCGGATGTAGTAATATTATAAACATATGTTCAAGAATTAATATATGAAAGGCCTCCTTTCATATGTATATCAATAGCATTCATATCATTTCTCATAAGACTCTGGTAAGTTTAACCCAAGGATTGAAAGAAACACTAACCTGAAGATTAAATTGAAGAAAGAACATCAAGGAATCCTACAGATGTTTAGCTACCTAATTCAAAAGTAAAATCCAATCATCAGGCAAGCTACTAGAAGAACTACCATCTTCAGTGCATATGAATAAGATATGGCTGCAATACTAAACATGTTTGCTCCAGGAATCCTAGCAACCCAATTAAAAAGAACAAACAAGCTTATGTTGTCAAAGCGATCATACAATTAAAGACGAACCAAGACTAGCGACCCAAACAGTCCAACAGTGGGCCCACGTTACATGATCTCTTTGGTGCAATATTATATCCATGTTGATGTGTAAGTGGATCTTAATTTTAATTCTAAATCCAGAAAATTGTCTCCTCTACCATGCCTCTGTAAAGTTCCAACCCATGCCTCTGTAAAGTTCCAACCAGCATGGGCATTCATACTAACTATACACCGAACAGGAGTCAGTAGATTAAGCTTCAAGCTAGAAGCATACTTCATCTTAAAGAGCCACCCGCAACTGCTTCTATACTGTCCAAACTAGCTTTTGTGGTTTTTTTGTCCACTTCTTATTATTACACAAAACTGGCACTCACTTGCAAACGCAAGGGGGTTGTTCTAGTTCTTAATAAATATTGAAATAAGCAGAGGAGAATATTATCAAACCCATTAGTCAAGCTAATCACAACCAGATCAACTATCTTTCACATTTCAACCTCATGAACAAAACAATCACATACGAAGAAACACAATGATTGACGCCAACGGTGTGGAAGTTACCTTCAGGAAGCCACCCACAACTGCAACGAGAGATGGAGAGCATTGATGTCATCAGTGCTGAAGCAGTTGCCGTATGATATGGCAGCATGGATTCCACACAGAAACTCAATTCGACAGGACACCTAATTTAAAAGCATGGATTCCACACAGAAACTCAATTCGACAGGACACCTAATTTAAGTAAATAAGAGAATTTCCATCCATAAATTTGTCTTATAAACAACGCTACACAACGTATTATAAGAAAAAACGAACACACCATCCAGTTTTGAAGCATCCGACCCTTGCTACCATTAAGAAGGTTCAAAAGTTAAGCTAATAATCTAGCACCGCGTTTGGTTTATGAAAAATCGTCTAAAGGCAAAAAACAAAAGGTGGACAAAACCACGAATAAGTTCTCCAATGTTGTGCCAAAACAAATGCAATGGAGTTTAAAGTACATTTTACTTTTCTAAAGAAATAGATTGAAAAACAGAAAAGCATAATGTTCATGTGGCTTGCATTCTCTCCTATACCAGAAAATAATAACAATGTTATGCAGATTACCTGACAGTGGAATGGGATGAAGGTTTTCTGGATGCGAGGGGCGGAATGAAGAACGAGTCGCTCTTGCTCCGATGCAACACGGAAAGCAGAGGAGCGAGACGAGCAAGAACGGAACAACGACCTAACGGCGGCTGAGGATGCCATTCGTGATCGGATCGGAAACGATAGCTGATGCTTAGCCTTGGGAATGGTTAGGGTTCTTGGGCAATGGCTCGGCAGGGCAAGAAGCTAAAACCTGCATGAGGGTTCGGTTACAGGGCTTAGGAATTCCTGACCCGGAAAAAATTAACACGGGTCTCTTTCGGTTCGGACCTTGCTGAAGGATCAGGAATCTGTCTTCAAGTCCAGCCTCCGAGTGGGTCGGGGTCCGATTCGCCTTCGGTTTCCCCGTCCGAAACCCCTCTCTTGGCACAACACAACAACCTGGACTTCGTCTGGCCCAAAATGGACCGTTCTCAACCATAGGCCTCGTTTGAAGTCTGGGACTCCTGCGTGTATTAAATCTGGGCTTCACCATGTTTTTCAAAAAAAATGTAAAAGGAATTGAGCTCAACTTTTGCAGAGGAAGATAATCCATTTCCACCCCTGAAAGTAAGAAGAAACTACA